AGAGTGAAGATTTTTGGGAGACATTATGAGGAAGGAAGGCTCGGAAAATTTAACTCTCAAAGCACACTGAAAACAATTGAAGTGTTAGAAGCAGTGGATAACCTACTAAATAGGTTTGAGCAAATAGAGGGAAGAATGATTGTTACAAATATAAAGCCTGTCATAAAAAAAAAAAACAGGTATTGTTAAAAAAATCAAAACAAAAGAAAGAAAGCTGTGGAGAACCATAAAAGGAAATAACATGTAAAGAGAGACTTCAATACAGAAAGCCAACCCATGTAATCATGATGCCTCTTGATGTAAATATTTGCAATATTTGATTACAGTACACATTTTCTCCTATAGAGAGTTCTAAGTATACAATAATATCAATCAGTTCTTATCTTCCAAGATACACTTCTTTGACCAAGCATAAAGAATACATTATTATTTTTGATGCTTAATTTTGTCTGACAAATTGAGTCCGATGATGTCTTACAAATGCAGAAAATTAAGTGCATTCAGATTTACAAGTGCGAACAAGCTTGACCAATACAGCACCCCTGTTGCTAATAGTAATAAAAGGTAATTACAGATTTTACAAATAGTTAACAAGATAAAAAGTCTCCTTACATTAACTGACAGAAAAGATCTATCAAGTTTAAACAATGAGACACTCAGGGAAGCTGCCAACCAATTTCTAAGTGTACATGTGCATAGTAGTAAAACTGGACAAGTTGTTAGACAAGAAAATATCATGTACACAGATGCTTGATGATTTGCTATATTCTCTCAGTTTGAATAGATTTGTATATCTTCAGCACTAATCCATCAAAACAGAAATAAATGGCATAATCGTTTCCACATGGAAATTCCCTGCCAACTGACTTGAGCCATTGTCACTAGGGAGCTATCTAGAAGGAAGTTGTCTGTGTAGATGAATGAGACACGAGATAAATAGAAACTTTCTGCAAGTTCATTAAGAGGATAAAACAGACAGGATTCACAAATTATTTTTTTTATGTATGTGCTGTCAAATGAATGATCATTAATTAGTATATAGTTAAGAAAAATATTGTATATTCATATTTTTTCATATCAAAAGAACATTGACAATAAGTATTTGTTTTAGTTTCATAGCTAAGCGAGTTATATATTTTTCTCTGGTACCAGTACGATAGGATTTCAAATGCTGTTTTTCAAGGCAAGCTCTCCCAACTTACAAAACTGATCCTCCCTAATCTTCCTACTTTTAATGCTTATCATAAACTATGTAAATATATCACTATTACAGGGAAAAAATTCTTTTTTTAATCAAGTTTAATTCCTCACATGAGGCATTTTTATTCAGTAAAATTTTCAATCTCTATACCTGGTAGACATTAATATCTACTCAAACACGTACCCATTAAACATACTGCTTATAATATTCAGGAATAATATTAGAATGAAATAATCCGTTAACTGCTTAAAAATTGCCACATATACATACATATAATATATATATACATACATAGAGAGAGAGAGAGAGAATCTCGAGGTGGTGTAATGGTTAGCAAGGTTGTCTCACTAGAACAATTACAACTGAGTAGTGAGTTCGATTCTCACTGGGTTCCTCCCCCTAATTTCGGCCTTTCCTCACATATCTGCATAAACTCTGCCTCTTGCTGTATAACTTTCTACTTCCAATGTCTCCAGGGCCTTGTACAGCACCAGAAAAATTAAGACCCTATCTTTTTGTTCTCTTTTTACACTGCTTGGTGTTGCATATTTGTGTTATATTTTTTCTGCATGGGAGATATATATATATATATAAAATTTTGTGTATGACTTAGTGGCATAAAAATCTATATGAAACCAAAGCATATTTGTTGTTCCTTTTCTTTCAGCTACTCCTTTTCACACTTGAAATAAAGTGTTAATAGATCCTGGCTATAATAATGCCCATAATAAAGGAAAGAAAAATGGGAGATATAGTCACATATTATCTGGTGACTTATCCAATGCTGTGACATTATCACCCATTAGGAAAATATATTTTAAATGATACATAGTTAACAATGTCAGATGATTCAGCAGTGAATTCGAATGAAAAGATAAAACTTTAAATCATTTTTCTTGTCGTTGATTAAATAAAGAAAATACCAGAATCTTATCTTGAGTGCATGGATCAATAGGCAGCATTCTTCATTCTAAATAAAAATACAATTTTCATATTAGGTCAGTTATTGATAATCTGTTCAGGTCTTTAAAAGTAGAAATAAATTATCTTCTCTTTAGCAAATCTATATTTTTATAATTCTTTTCCTTTCTTCCATTTAAGTGAAGAAAATGGTTGAACCCAATCTTGGGTAAATGCAATCAGAGTGAACATTGTTCTCCTTTGTAAATAATATCCATTTTAGTTTATTCAATAAGAGCAATACGATCATTTTAGTACATGAAGAGTTGTCTCCACTTTGTTTCTGAGTGGCCATTCAACCTGTGGTACACAATGATTAAACATGAATGACTTTCAAAGACCAAAGTTTTTATATTCTTTATAAGGAGGAATGAGGGTGGGGAACAGTCTAATTCCATTAACAAAATGAACACTCAAGTCTGCTGATTTATTTAGTAATGACCTATTCAATTCAATTCAATTAATATGTGTGCTTGTTGTTCCTATTATAAAAAGTAATATGCACTTTGATTACATTTTTTTTCTTTTTCAACATCTGTGTATTTGCAGTGTATTCCATGTCTGCATCTTCTTTCTTAATGGTATGATGAAAAGAAGTGCAACAGTAATTTTAGAATTGTCTCACTTCTGTTTGTTTTCATCAATTTCTCAAAGGCACCTTTTGCAGCTGCAAAAGCTATTTCAGCAGCAAAATAATTCTAATCAAATTACAGGTTGCGAATCACAGCAGATCTCTGCTTTGCCACATTCTTTCTTGCTCTCTAAGACTTCACTTTAAAAACCTCTTTCTGATTTGATTTTAACTGCACTAAACCAATGCAAACTCAAATTGTAGCTTTGAAATTCTTGCTTTTATTTGCTTAGTTATTTGCAAGAGAAAGGTGAAAAAATGATTCCTCAAAAAACATCAAAAACTGAAGAACTTTTTCTCATATTAATTTCCATGTTGTATCTGATGATTACAAGAAGTGAGAACATAAATAAACCCAAAAATCAAAAAATGTAATTCAAACTTTACTATTTTAGCAAGAATATAACAGTAAATTTCTTTATACTTGAATATTCATGGATGCTAATTTTATACAATTTTGTACAAATACAATAATAGCTATTATATTCACAGATTTGGAGAGAACAAAAATCACTGAGTAATAATAATAATACATGAAACTTGTCTGATTTATGAATGAGCAACAAATAGGAATAAATTTTTCTTGGATATTTTTAGATATGAAGCAAATATTTCAGGGAAATATGTTCAAGAAAAAAGTTACATAAAGCACACATATTTCCAGTTGATCTAATGTTGATTTTTCCTATTAGATTAGACATAACAATTCAGAATTCATTTTTCCTTTAAGTAAAAATATATTGAGATAGTTCAGTTAGTGATTTTTTATTTATGCTTACATTTCCATTTAAATCTTATTTTAATCAGTTATAATCATGTAAATGAAGAGACCAGTTATTATAATTCTTTCCAGATAGATATTTTGAAAATAATACAGCCATAGTTTTCCTTTGCTTTAAGGCCTGATTGATAATAAGTGATTAACAGCAATTTTCAATAGAGTTTCAAATTGTGGAGTTTTTTATTTTATGCAGTCTTGTTAAAACTTCCATAAGTTTATTGAAAAGGGAAAGTGAAAAACAGTTTTGTGAAATATAGACTCTTTCTATATGAAAAAGAATGTTTTAAATTTTGTTCTTTATAAAAATGTCTGTGTGCATGTGTGGATGCAAATATTTAATATAAGAATGCAATTTTTTGTGAAGAAACAGACAATAAAAATTACTTATCTTTTTGGCAAATAGCTAAAATCTTACAGTTTGTATGGATAAAAAAATTGTGCAGTAAGGAAAAACAAGAAATTTTTATATATGTATTATGTGGTTATCTTTCAAACATAAGAAATGGAGCTTAATTGTTTTTAAAGAATAAAAATCATTTCTGTATGAGTTGAAAGATATTAAAATTTAAATAACTTAATTACTGCAGATGCTAGAAACATGAAACTTTACAACATGACAATTTGACATAGGTTTTAAATAATGCATATATTTTATAGTTTTATGTAAATAATAAGCTGATTATTTCTGTTTGAAATCTTGAGATGAGGAGTTTACATTATTTAGGTTTAGACAATGAATTCATGAACCAACCTCTAGGACAATAGCCTCATGGTTTAAAGCATTGGTTCATGTGATTTGGTGACAAAGTATTTGTGAGTTCAGCCCCTGGTCTGGGCAGTGTATACTTCGACTCTGGGAAAACAGATGAGCAATAACCAAGCATTAGTAAAATAAGGACTAGACAAGATATACCAAGATATGGGCACATGAATGAGAACAACTTACCCCTCTAGATTAAATAAAGGGTTCAGTTTGAAATTCCTTGAAAGGTTACCAGGATCAATATGCACCTGATGAAGGCAGGAGAACACAACAGCCAAAACATTGTGATAACAACAACGAAGATGATGACAATAGTCTGCATGTAATTAAGAGGCTGATGAATTCCACTTAAAATTGGTTTCTTCTTAGCTAGAATATTGTTTCATTAATATTGATTGATTTATTTTTATGGCTTATCAACCTTTTTAAGGTTATTTAAAGTCAAATCATTTTTAGATTATATGATTTTTTTGGAATTAATAATTATTTTCTGCTACAAGTCTTACTATTTAACCCATAACTAAGAGGAGAAGACATGGATTCATACCTTTCCCAAGGGTATTTGCACATAATTGAATGTAATGAGCACAACTAGAATTTGAAATTGGCTCTCCAATCTCTCATTCTGAGCCATTATCCACTATACTACTAACACATATAAGATTTCAGCACCTGGTATTCCTAATTGGTAACTTATCTAGGTACTGACCAGGTTCAATGTTTCTTAACTTTGGTGATCAGATGAGAACCGGGGTTTCAATGTGATATAATTGTAAGCTTCTTTCCTTAATAATATTTAATAAAAATAATTTGATTTTCTTTAAAGTTGGTCAACTTTTAATGTTAATAATTTTATAATTTAAGAGTACAAAATTAATTTAAATAATTTTAATTTATATAGATTTTCATAATTATTCACAATGCACATGTAATAACTGGTAGAAACTAAATCTTTTTTAGTTTCACACATTTACAATTCATTGAATTTTCAAAAAGGACACACTTTTTATATTGTCTTGATATTGCATTTTTTGAGAATAAATATTTTCCCTTATGTAACAGTGAAAATGGGATTAGGTCCTACAGGATAATGTTTTAGTAGACCAAAGCATTGGTTTGTTAATTTGGTGACAGTAAGTCCAATACCTGGGTCGGGCAGCACCTATTTTGACTTAGTGGAAACCAGTGAGCAATAACTGAGCAGTACTAAAAATAAAAACTAGATGATATCCCTAGACTTTATTTAATCTATGAGGGAAGACAGTTCAAATTAGAATTCCCTGTAGATCAATATACACCTGAGGAAGGCTGAAGACCACAACAACCGAAAAGTTGTGATAAAAAAGTCCAAATATAAATAGCTATTCTTACTGTATAGAGTTTTAAGAATAAAGCTTTTTCACAGTTGCAATCATTCTTCACACTAGATTCTTTATTGATTTAGATCTGATGTATGGTGGTGTAAATTAGATAAGAAAAGGCTGAGCAGGATTATTAGGAAAAGATAGCTTGAATCTTGACAGCATCAATGAGTAAGATACGATCAGCATTGCTACATGGTGTAACAAGTTTCCGTGGCATGAGATAAAAATTGAATTTCATTTAAAATTTTTGTTTCAAATTCATGCCAATTGAATTTAAAATTTTATCAAATGTGTCAGCTTACAAATATTGTCACTGATGGAAAGAGAAAATATTAAAACACTAATCTAAAATGTTTTCAAGATAGTTGCAAATCAAAAAGACCGTTAAACATTGAGGAAAACATACAAGTAATATTGCCATTTGTGTTAATCTTCTAATGCTAACAGATAAGAAATTATCAGTCTCTTCATTATAACAGTTTTATGTTAGTTTGATTTTGTTTGCTTCTGATATTATTTTAGGTCTTCTAAAACCCAGAAGTTGGTGTTTACCTATATAATCACATAAAGTCTGTTATGCATTATAATGAAAGATTTTACTACTAAAAATAACAATAAAAATGAAGGCAGTGTGATAAGTATGAAACTTTCTGCTTTGATGATATATAAAATTCTTCAGATGACAACTCATTTTCATGAACTGATACATAATTTCAGATATTTGTAATCAAAATTCCTAACTGGTTTGATTACTGTCCAAGTGAGTAGCTAAAATGCGCTTTAGGTCAGTTAACATCAAAGTAAGATCTGCTCTGACCCTCAAAATGAAAATATGCAAGTCTATATTAAAAATGAATAATTTCTTCCCCAGAAAATGCTTATGTGCTCATAGAAAATACAACTAAAAAAAAAAGTTAAGTTTGGCATTGATTTACTTCTGGAATTATCTTCAGAGAAAATCCTAATCACACCATCTTAGAATTCTATGTCTTTCTAATCTTACCTAAATACAAAGAGTCTCCTTCAATCATCATAAAAATTCTATATTTGAACAGAGACAACTTTGTTAGAAGCTCAATAATTATTCATATACATCACCATAATTCTAAAAGAACTTAGATAACTTATTGATTTTTATTTGAATTATTGCTTCCATAACTTTTTCAGAGTACCCAGTATATATTTGTTAGTTTCTGAAAAGGTCAATGGGTTCTTCTTCTATCCCCTGTGGACCATTTGTAGAATTTCCAATATTTTTATATTAGACATGCTGCCTGAATCAAAGCAGTTAAGTCTAGAAGCTGAAGGCAGAAATATTGACTGTGATAAAGCAGATAAAGAAAAAAGTGAAATGGGATTAGGTTGGCATTTATAGTTTGCATATTTTCTCTTGTTGAAAATATTTGTTTTATACATTAATGACAATTAGTTTCATGATGAGAAGGTATTGTGAAAGACACCTTTGATGCTGAAGTGGGTTCATCTTCAATGTTAAAATCAGAAATAAAAATTTCAAGTCATGCTACAAAGGATTCAACTACAATGAAATAACAATGTGGGCAGGTTGGAAGACTTATCTTACCAAAGACCCTCCTATTCAAGGAATTATCATCCTATTTCCAAATTCCCTGTCTATTCAAATAACTAGTCTCCTATTTCCAAAGTCCCTTCTATTCAAATAACTAGTCTCCTATTTCCAAAAGCCACTATTCAGGATAGCTAACATCCAATGACCAAGACCCTTCTATTGAGAATAACTAGCTTCCTATTGCTAAAGACCCTTCTATTGAGAATAACTAGCCTCCTATTGACAAGGACCCTTCTATTGAGAATAACTAGCCTCCTATTGCCAAAGACCCTTCTATTGAGAATAACTAGACTAAGACCATTCTATTTAAAAATTCTCATATTCAGTGAACTAGCCTCCTGATAATTTCTCTATTCAAGGGATTAGCCTCTAGTGAAGAAATAAAAGGAGTCCCTGAGAAGGACTCATTTCCAGTGAATCTAACCACCATCAATGTGAAACAGAAGCAATCAACAGGATAGTATGAATGTGCAAGATCTATTGGGCACCACCCTTCAAGAATGAAGCCAGAAAAGAGAGTGGCTGAAAGAAGGCATTGGCTGGCAAAACCTTTCTTGCAGTTGATATAGAAAAGTAGAACTTTCCTGCAGGGACCTCACTAACCATCAACAGATATAAAAGACCTTATCAAAAGCTTTGCAATTGAATCTAATTCTTAACCTGCCTCTATAGTCCTTGAACGCCAAAAATTTGAGGACTTTTGGAAAACACCCAGAACATAATGAATGACGGAGGACTAAACAAACCTAGATTTATTTATTTAAGGTGCCTTTTTGGTTGGTTGTTTATTTTATAACAAGTAGGTGGTTGTAAATTAATGGCTTGCAAAAAAATTCATTAATTCATATTTCATTTCTGAACATAAATAAAGATAAGTAAAATCAATATCTTACATGAGGATCTGAATTCCTTTTTGTATATTCTATACAAACTTTGTATTAAAACTGTATTTATTTTAGGAGGCATTAGAAATTACACTAAATTAGTTCACTGTTCGAGATTTGATATCATTGTGGATTGTCAATTACATTTCATTTGACTATCTGAGTCAGTTCTGTGCATTATTTCCACAGCATTAGTACTGTGTGGTTTTCAAATATTCCATTTGATATATAGATATAGCATTTATTTTGAAATTTTCTTGCTATATATTGTCTTGATTGTCCTTGGGTTTTATAGGATAAATAAAAATAAAAAATACTATGATTTATTTTGGAAAAAGAAATTGTTATCAGCTAAAAGAAGATAATTAAGAGTGTTAAACATAAGTGTATGTTAGGCCTAAAAGTTCCATAATTTAATCCCACTCTTCAGTATTGACATTAAATAGTATTTTATTAGAATATTAACATGTTCTAAAAAAAGACTTATGTAAAATATTTCCAAAGAGAAATGCTCTTGATCTGAGCTTATAATATAAAATGATCATCTCCATAATAAATATTGTAGCACATCAAATAACAATTTGTTTTTACTTGATGAAAGCTTTTTCTGTAGTATCAATAATTTATTTCTTATTTCCCAGAAAAGAACCAAACATCTGACCTGTGATTTCATGAAGTGTTTTCTTTCAGGCAATCCTAATATTAATCTTATAACAGACTTTATCATAATAGAGAATGTTTTAATCATTTCACCCCAAGCAAGGCAATAAAACTACTAAGCCATTACTAAGTCTGAAAGAATATGAGAAAAAAGTAAACATTATTAAGGAGAGAAAAACTTTTCATGGCTTTTAACTTAGACATCATCAGTGACACAGTAGGCATTTCAAAATAATATATCTATTTCCTTAAGTCTTGTGCCTTGTGCTTACTGTGTTCCTCAATAAATCCAAGGGAACCTATCTGTCCATGCATGTGATATAAAGTCTTTGTTAATTCCTAGGTTTTATCAAGACTGCCTAACTGATTCTTGAGTTAAACAAAATGACAGATCCCATACTCTTGTTTAAATTGAACCTTTTCAAGTATTTTAAATGTAATGTTTGGAAAACGAAGAAAGCTTCTAGCATCCAAAAAGTTAACTTTGCAGTTCCCAATCCAAAAGTTCAAATTCCTTCATCTACTTTTTCCATGATTGAAAATAAACAGCAATAAAGCACGGCAAAAAATGTACTTCAGTATTTCTAAAATGAGCTGCTATTAACCTTGAGAGCTTTTTCTTTTTTCCATTATCCAAATCTGGATCAAAGAATTCAGTCTTCAAACATTACCTAACCAACTGATGACAGGAAAGGATCACAATAATATGAATGTGTACTCAAGGAATCATTCAATTGTTCAGTAAAACAAACAAAACCCAATAGTCAAATCACAAATTTCTGTAAATTAATTTAAAGAGCAAAGCTTTTTCAAAGAGAAACTCTTATTTCTGAAATGATATTAAATCCTTAAAAAAATTCCTTGAAAGATCTTACTGTAAAATTTCACAAAATTGTAACCATTCATCTATCATTGAGATAGCGATTTAATTTCCTGACTTGGCTAAACGAGAATAGAACTGATCAATTTAGGAAAAGGGGAAATATATTTGATTTCACTTGTAAATTCTTTATTGCTGTAAATAACTGCATATTTTTGATGAATTTTGATGGTAAACTGCAACTTTAAAAAAAAAAAAATCATCCAACCTTGAAAATCAAAACAGAAAATATATATTCAAAAGAAAACAAAAAATTCTGTAATTTAATTAAGAGATATTTATTTCAATCAACTTTACTATATACATCAGCTTGATAACTTCTATACATATCTTTTAGATATAAATTTATTTTCTGAAGGAGATAACTCATCATTCTGAAGATAAAC